TGACCTATAAATATTGCCAGACAATGTTACAATACAGGTCTATTAAAGAACTATGGGAACACAGGAGATGAGGTATCTAACTCCGCCTATGGCACCAGTTAATGCTTTATTAAAAAAAAAAAAATACAGACACATATATATGTGTGTGTGTGTGTGTGTATTATGTATTTCATCTCTATCCTCACTGCAGCTGCATATTGTATGCATGTGTGTACACATATGTAAATACATGTATATATGAGACTTTGGAATTAAGTACTAAAGAATAAGCAGGAGTTTACCCAGCAGAGTAAAACAAAGGCATTCTAAAGAACTGAAAATCATTAGTGAAGATGCAGAAAGTGCTAAGAAAGATGTCATGCTTATTTGTGAAAGAGAAGTGCTTCTAGGTGTGCTTTGATCACAGAACCAGAGTGAAGGGCAGAATCACAAAACACGTGAATAAATGTTGTTGTTGTTTTTCCCCTAGCTATATCTAACGAGGCCAAGGTTGCTAGAAAAATAAATTCCAGAGAGGGACTGTTAGTTAACCATAAATTATAAAAACTAGCCAGCTACATTTATTTCCCTTAATCATTCCAAATTTGTCACCAACTTCCAAAAAACATAACTTACTTAAAATTATTAAATACCTTACTCTTAAGAATTCAGTTGTCTGTAATCCTTTCTCAGATCCAACGTAGCTGAAAATTTACCTTAACTTGATACTTAAGATATTTCTGTTGAACCAAATGCCCTTTTAATTACAAAAAAACTCCTAATAAAGTGACAAGTGGATGAGATTGTAACTAATGATGTTGGCTAATCCATAAAGAAAAAAGTTGACCCACATGTACAAGAAGACAACCAGTAACATACTAAACAGTTTTCCAAGAATCTGTTATGCCTCCATCTTTACTTGCACTATTCTGACTGGTTTAATCAGGTATCATCCTATATGCACCCATTATTCCCAATGCCCAAGAGAATATCTGGTTTAATTGTTCCCCTGTGAAGTTCTTTCTTAGTTCTCCTCATGTTGAATTGACCATTATTCTCTTTTTGCAAATAATATCTATTATAAAAATGTACTGGAGTAGCAATAATATCTTATTTACCTTTTTCTCTTTTTCACCAAAATACCTGCTACATGAAAGGTACTCCATTAATATGTTAAATAAGTGAGTTGTGAGACTGTTTTCTTATATACATAATTGCTTCATGGAAAAAGGGTAAGTCATAATTTTAGTCTTTCATTCTTTTACAAGATTTGTAAAATAATCAAAAAGCAGTTTCTCTGCTTTTACAATTTTTATATTAACATAGTGATTTTCAAAGGAGACAGATATATCGGGATCATCTGAGAAATTCCTTCCAGCCTAATTCCTCCACCTCACTTGCTCCCATCTTCAGCCTTAAAATGTGCACCAGCACCACACTACTGAAAAGTATTCTTTGGATGATCTACTGTTACTGATGAGAGGGTATCATTCTGTTACCTCCCTTAAGTGTGGAGAGTTAAAACAAAGATTGAGAAAGTCTTAGACTCAGATTCTAAGGCTGTATATTTTCCCAAATAGAGACAATGACTGTTCATATGCAAAGTACTCTTTCAATGAAGAGTGAGTGCTTTAACCTAAAACATTTTAATGATTCATTAATAAAATACTAACAAAATAATAAAGATAATTTATAAATGTTGAAATAATATTCACTTTACATGTCAATTTCATTGCAAAATTTATGCCAAAATATTAAACTTTTATATTTATTTATAAGCTCACAAAAAGACAGATGCAAACAGTAGGAAAAAACAAGCAGACTACCCAAGAGAGCTCTTTTCTTTATAGAATCTTCCTTTAAGCATGCATAATTAAAGCAATTCATATCCCCTTGTAGCATAAAAAGGAACCAACACCTAGGCAGGGAAAAACAAAGCTATTTTAAGCAACCCATAACCAAGCTGCTAAAACAAAATATACAGGACCCACAGTAACACTGGAGTCATTAAGAAGTTCCTGTCCTCTTGTTTCATTTTCAGCGTGCACTTTCTGGTAATGCTCCGACAAATCAATAGCAGTTATACATCTTTTCATACATAATGGGCAGATGAAACCCTGTGAAATAACAACTTTTAGAAGAATTACATTAAAAGTTTTCTTTTTTAAACATATAAAACAAACAACACAAATAGATAAAATAGGAGAAATAATGAGTATCTCTCTTTGGTATATATAAGGGAAACTCCCAAGCATTAACTGTACAAAAGGTAAAAGATCTATCCAAAGAAGGACTTCTATAATTAGTTTCCATCCTCACACTCTAAACTTTCATTGGTTCTTTTTTTTTCTTTTTTGTTATGGTAGCCAGTTTTTATAGTTGGATTATTATTTTGTTTATGGCACTTTAAAAAATTTTAAAATTCATTTTGTTTATGAAACTTTGTACTTACTTATCTGAGACCTACTGGCAAGTTAGCTCTTATTTTTTATTTTAGATCAAGAAATTACTGGCAGATACAACAAATATCTTTTTATGACACAATGTTCTGAACAAAGAAATCCTTTTAATGAAAGCAATTTTCAGTCTTTACCATATTCTAGTAGCCCAAAATCCCAGTTTTTTCCATATCTAATACCCAGAAGATGATCATTCCTTCAAATTTTCTGAATCAAATAAACCATTTTAAAACAGTTTCTCAAATTCCCTATACCTAACAATGTTTATCTTTTAAAAATATGGGCTATTACACTGACCCCAGGACTTAAGGTTTTGTGAGATAAGAATAGTAAGATGCCAGACATGTGATGCACACCTGTAATCCCAGCTACTGGAGAGACAGAGGCAGGAGTATAACAAGTTCAAGGCCAGCCTAGGAAACTTAGCAAGACCCTGCCTCAAAATTAAAAAAAAAAAAAAAAAATACAAAGAGCTAGGGATGTGCTCAATGGTGCAGCACTTGCTTAGCGTGCACAAGGCTCTGAATTCAATTCCCAGTATTGAAAAAAAAATTAAAACTAAATCAAAACACATCAATAACAAAACAACTCAAGTGGGTTCTCCCAGTTAAAGGACAAGTTATATGCTGTTAATAAAAAAAAAGAAGAAGAGAAATCCAAAAAGGGAAGGGCAAAAAATATTGAAAATGGAAAGATAAAAAAAGTTATTCAAAATACTAGTCAAAAGAAAGCTGATGTCTTTCCATTATTATTAGCACAATGACAAAAGCTCTAATTCAGAAAAAAAAAAAAGATAAAAGATCTAAGAAAGGACATGAAAACTGTGACTATAAATAATGTATTAGCAAAGTTTGGCTCTGAAGCAAATGAAAAGGGAATTTCAGGTCAAAGGAAGGGTTTTGTGTTTTGTTTTGTTTTTTCCACTTTTTATTTTTTTAGTAGTCTTGTCTTGTTTCATATGTATTGTACTGAACATATATATGCTGATAGATATGCTGATAGAACACTGTAAGCTGATAGGAATAATCCACAGTACAAGCTAAAAGCTAAATTGGCAGAAGAGAGATGATAAGAACGAGATAGAATAGAATGGTGGGGGATAGGGGATGAGAATGGAATCCAGAGCACTAGGGAAAAGAATAAAATCTGATAGACAAAGGGAACTGCCTTCTACGAACTAAAATAAGAAAGTATAGTTTTAGCGATAAAACAAGGACATTTATCTTATGGTTCCTATTTTCTTGATGTTATGAAGATACCTGGGGGAAGGTAAGAAGAGGGTAAAAGACCTAGGAAACTTGAGGATAAAAAAGGTACAAAATAACTATCTCAAAAAGTAGGAAAACATCCCTACTAAGACAATACAACAGTACTACCAAGCCAAGCGCTGCTTGATAGCAATACCCATTGGAAATGCTCTTTTTGGTTTGGGGGGGTTGGGTTGAGTTGGGTTAAGTTGGGTTGGGTTGGGTTTTAGGTTCTTTTTTGATTTGACTGAAGTTAACAGTTATAATTAGATTCTTTCCTGGAACAAAACTGAACACTTTAAGGCCATCATATCATCAATATAGTTTGGAAATTTTTTCTTAAAAGAGTTGGGGATATAACTCAAAAGTACAGCACTTTGCCTAGTGTGTGCAAGGTCCTAGGTTCAATCACCAGCACCACACACCCAAAAAAAAAATCTTAAACTTGCTGTTAATAAAATTCAAGTGACACTTTTCTTACTCTCACACTCCTAAAAATCTTATTATGGTTACTATACATATACATAAAAATAGATGATCAGAGAAACAAAACAGAGATATGACAAAGAGAAAGACAAACCCAGAAACACACATGAGATAGAAAGACTAGACAACCAAGTGGAAAAGAACAGAACAAAGAGTCTGAATGGGGGTTTCAACTAGGCCCAGAAGAAGTAACAGACAAAAACTATCAGAGCAAATAGTGAGTGTGTTGATCTGTTGGTGGCAGGGGTAACTTCTGAGTTCTCTTTCCTATCTCCTTTTTCTATAATAAACAAATATCGCTTATTTATTTAAAATAAAAATAATAAATGAAATCACAGGGACTAAATTTTTTTAAATTGAGGTTATCTTTTTAAAAAGGTATATTTTCCACTAGTTTCTTAATAAAGCTATCGAAATTCTTACAAAGCCATAAGTGAAAACAAAATAATTGTAAGCTTTACAAATACCTACTTTTTCATTAGCCAAATACTTCTTGACAATACACATACGCAAAGAGACATGAATTAACCAGCAGTTCTTTATAAACAGACTAAAAGAAATTCATTTAATTGAGATGACATCAGCATGAAAGACAAATTGGCAATATTATTTTTCAAAGTCTTAACATATATTTTCTCAACCTCAACTAAACACAGGTATATATTTATGATTCAAAAGTCACATTCTAAAAAAAAAAAAAAGTCACATTGTCACATTCTAATTTGTAGAACTCTTCCTACACAGACAAGTCATCAATCTGCACTACAATTATTTGCTAATTTTCCCTTGAATAATAATGAATTGTATTACCATGTTATGATTTTCATACCTCTGAAGAGCTTTCATTATTGACATCCACTGTGTTTATAGGAGTTGCTGATGAATCTAAATCAGAACCTTGAGAGCCAACTCTCCCAGGAGTCTGAAACAAAGAGGAGAGAAAGAAACCAAAGCATATATTAACAACACATTCAAAGCCATGTAATAATATAAACCTTTTCATATAAAGAATAGTAGCTGTCTTCAAAATAATACCAAACAGAATTAACAGTATCTTTTATGGAAGACCATGTCTAATACCATGTGTATTAAGATCTATATTCATTTTTTTCTTTTAAGTTTATAAAGTTTACTTTTGAATATAATGTTTTATAGGCTTCAATCCACTCCCACAAACATTCAGTTTTTGTTTTGTTTGTTTTGTTTTAGATTCTTTTTTGGTCTGACCAAAGTTAATCATTATAACATCTCTAAGAAAGGTAAGACATATGTTATCTCTACAGAGGAGAAAACAAATTTAAAGCAGCTAAGTAACTTCTTAATGATTACACTGATAACAACAACTACAATAAAAAAAACAGAAAAAAAAGCCGAACTAAAATGCTGATCTTCTGATTCCTCTTGCAATATTCTATTTACAACACAAACTCAAACTACAATTATTTGAGGAGTGCTAAAAAAAAAAAAAAAAAAAAAAAACAGCCCCAAATATCTAGCCACCCATTCACCTACCACTCAGGTCATCCAATACCAGTGTGTCTCTAATACTTGATATGGCACCACCAAGACACATTTTGGAGCATTAAAATATCTTTTTTTCCCTCCTACTAGCATTTATCATCTAGCATTATCTTTTGTTAATACCTAGCTGTTATTTTAAGTGAATTTTACATCTAGTTAAAACCTGCCTAAGAAGAGACCCATTGCACAAGAACTGAATCAATAATCCTCATCAAAAATACATGTACAGGGCCAGGGTCGTGGCTCAGTGGTAGAACACTTGCCTAGCATGTGTGAGGCACTGGGTTCGATTCTCAGCACTGGTATAAATAAATGAATAAAATTAAGGTTCATCAACATATAAAACATATATTTTTAAAAAAATACATGTTACAGCCACGTGTGGAACACACACCTGTCATCCCAGCAGCTCAGGAAGCTGAGACAGGAGGATCACGAGTTCAAAGCCAGCCTTAACAAAAGTGAAGCATTAAGCAACTTAGTGAGACCCTGTCTCTAAAAAAAATACAAAATAGGGCTAGGGATGTGCCTCAGTGGTTGACAGCCCTGTGTTCAATCCCTGGTAACCCAAAAAAGAAAAAAAAATACATATTACATGTTAGCATGATTATTACTTTACACATGGGAAAACAAAAGCATAGAGACTGGGGCTGGGGTTGTGGCTCAATGGTAGAGCACTTGCCTCACAGCATGAGGCACTGGGTTTGATCCCCAGCACCACATAAAAATAAATTAAATAAAGATAGTGTATCCATCTACAAATAAAAATATATTTTAAAAAAAAGCATAGAGATTGCCCAAAGTCACATGGTCATGTGGCTAATAAATGTAAGAAAGAGTTTTTAATTCTATCAATGCGGTTCTTTGGCAGTGGTGGGGACCAGACGGGACAATGACTGGTAACAGGGATTGAACTCAGGGGCACTCAACCACTGAGTCACATCCCCAGCCCTATTTTATACTTTATTTAAAGACAGGGTCTCAGTGAGTTGCTTGGCACTTCACTGTTGCTGAGACTGGCTTTGAACTCCAGATCCTCCTGCCTCAGCCTCCCAAGCCACTGGGGTTACAGGCGTGCGTCACCACACCTGACTTAATTCTAGCAATGTGGTTCTTAATCACTGATATATACTGCTTCTCTGCTAGACATCTATCTCCACTGAAATGCACCTCAGGCACCGAAGATTGAGAACAACTCATTATACATTTGCCTCAACACACAAGCACCCTGCATATCACCATTAAAGAGTCAACCTAAATGCCAAAGAGTAATGAGCTGATACTATTTTAAATTGATCAATTAATGATTACTAAAATTACATTAAAAAGTAGAAAATATGCACGCTATAGTTACATTAAAAACTGTTTGTATAAAAAAATAAGACTTGTCATATTTGGTATAGCATGCCTGTAGTTCCAGCTACTTGAGAGGCTGAAGCAGGATTACAAGTTTGAAGACAGCCTGGGCAACTTATTAATAAGACCTTGCCTCAAAAAATAATTTTTAAAATCCATATTTAAAAAAAGAGATGGAGGCCAGGTGCAGTGGCTCACACCTGTAATCCCAGCAGCTTGGGAGGCTGAGGCAGGAAGATAGTGAATTCAAAGCCAGCCTCAGAAACTTAGTGAGGCCTTAAGAGACTCAGCGAGACCCTGTCTCTAAATAAAATACAAAATCGGGCTGGGGATATGGCTCAGTGGTTAAGCACCCCTGGGTTCAATTCCTGATACCAAAAAATGAGATGGCGAATATAGGTCAGGGTTCAATCCCCAGTAGCAGCGGGGCAGTTGGGTAAAGGACCAGTAAGTAAAGTTCTAAAATGCAAATAATGATGTCTATAGTGAAACAAGATTATATATAAGGGTTATGAGATTTGGGCTTTCCATTTTTGTTTTGCTATACTTTATTTTCAGAAATTAAATCACAGTTAAATTATTTCAATATTAAAAAAGTTTTATATTTATAAGTAAATTGGACAATCCACATGCCTTTAATTTTATTTCCTGAGGCAGATATTTTGCACATTTATTTATATTTTCTACTTATATTAGTCTTTTATAAATTGAGAAATTGGGAAGAGTAGAAAATAACAGCAGGTAATTAAAGTGACAAGGAAACCCAAACTCTTTTTAAACATACTCCCTTCAAAGGAGGATATAAGATTAATTTAAATACTTATTTTATATCCTGGGAAGAGAGAAGATGAATTAAGCATGCCAAGATAACAAGGGAGAAATTAAATGACCTTGAACTTCTTTTAAAGTGGAAGTTGAACATTCCCAATCTGAAATGCTCCAAAATCTGAAACTTTTTGAGCACCAACATGATTTAAGAAGTAAAAAATTTTCTCTGGGTTTTCATACACAATATTTAAAATATTATATAAAATTCTAGGCTACTACAGAAGGTGGAGATAAAACATAAATGCATTTTAGACTTGGGTCCCATTCCCAAGAGATCTTTTTACATATATACAAATCCAAAAGATAATAATCTAAAACACTTGCAATCCCAAGGATTTCCAACAAGGGATATCCAACCTGTACTTACTTCTTCTTTAGGATTCTCAGAACTCTGAGTTCTGTGAGAGTTGGACTAAAGACTGACAAGGAAGCACCATCATCTTATATCTTTCTAACACATATGGCTAGAGAACCCCAAGACACATTTCAGAAGGGACAGGTACCCTACTAAGAAATGACAAAAAGGGTTACCAACCAAACATTAGCTAAAGATGGAGGTAATCTTTATAACTTGTCCATGAATAGTTGCTGCTACCATACCCTGAGGCTTATCCAAATCAAGTTGAAAGTGGAAGAATTCAGAAAGAGCACTGAAGATGAAGAATTCAATTGCCTTTCTAGCCAAAAGTTAAAAAAATAAAATAAAATAAAAATTTTAAAAAAAGGAGCTGTACCTGAAGAGTCATTCTCCTTTTGGTTGTCAATATCAAGAGATACTAGGGAAAGTTAAATGCAATAGAGGAGGATCACAAATTCAAGACCAGTCTCAGCAGCATAGGGAAACCCTAAACAACTCATGAGACTAGGGATGTGGTTCAGTGGTAAAACACCTCTGGGTTCAATCCTCAGTACAAAAAAAAAAAAAAAAAAAGCCTCAAATTTACTCTTTTTACTTCTTTAGACTTAAGGATCTCTTACTTCTTTGGAGTTGAAGATCTCATACTTCTTTAGGCTTGAGGATCTCAGCATAAAAGCAGCTCTCTATCTCTTTGACAGACAAGTACTCAACTAATGGGAAAAGCAACATTCAGAGAAAAGTATGAAATTAAACTTGAACTTCCTACCAGCTTTGGTGAGTTTGCACTTTGGTTTTGCACAAACCCCTGAGCAGGTCAGACCTCCTGCCCTTAGCTTGGTTGTGCTGCCCTTTCTCCTGCCCTTTCTCCTAGACCTTGAGAAGGTCTGGCAAACACAGATTAGGAATGGACCAAAGCAAAGTGGTGGTTACACCAAGAACAACACTACAAGAAAAGAGGACCTAGTCTCCTGGGCCTCAGACCTGGATCCAACATTCCTGAGGCAAAACAGGCACCCTCATCCTGTGACTCTGAAATCTATCAGGACCATCTTCCTGGGCACTAAGTAGGTCAGCTTTTTAACCTATAGTCTCATCTTCACTTGTGGAGGTACTAAAGGTATTAGAACAATTTGGGTCAGGAAGAGGGCAGTGGGCCCCCCACTTCCTCATTTTTTATTCTCTTTGTCCTTATTATCTTCTTAGGGTACTTATGCTTTGGGGAAATGGGTCTAGCTTTCTTCTGCAGACTAAAGGCACAACAGGATCTTGTAAAGCCTCAACCACAGGACTCTCAGGTGTCCCTTCCAATGTCTCTGATGATGATTCCATACTTCAGAGGATCATTGTCCCATTGGTGGAATTTATCCTTTATATCTTGAGTATTTGGTGATAGGTCCAAGTCTCCAGGAACATATCTGGGTGAAGGAAATTGGAGATTCCTAGCCTCTGCACTGATAGGCTTTTCGTTGTTGTTGTTGTTTTAATCCATTATGCTGACCTCAAGCCAGCTTTACAGAAAATAGAAACTTAGAACAAAAGAACCAAGAGTCAAATGAAAAAGGAAGTAGTACCCTGACTCTTTCCAATGATGTATCCTTAGTTACCATGGACACAAAAAGGTACATAGATCCAAGATTTCTCCTACTCTGGATTTATCTAAAGGAGTTCAATAGCCTTCAGAAATAGTATCCTAAGGTTTTTGTTCTTAATCTAGGGTATCACAGATTTCCTGGTGAAGTATGGAAGAACAGGCCTTGGTTTCCACATTCTTTTTAAGTTTTCCCAAAAATCTAACTTTCCAAAACTTTCTACACATGAATGTGGCAAAGAATGAACAATGAAAAGGTTAAAAAGGAATT